CGCAGGATGGCCGGGCTCGGCGGGCAGCAGCTCCCCGTTGGGTGGGCAACAGGGCTCCGCGCTAAGTGCTGTGCTGTTCTGCCACCCAGGAGGGGTTCCCGGAGGTGGCTTTTGGGTACCAGGAGGGCACGCTGCGCTGGGAGCCAGAGGTACTGGGGGAGCACTGGCTGACGGGGGGCTGGCCAGTGCATCTCCTGCTGCTTTGCTCAGCTGTGGTCAAGTTGCCATCTCTGCTTCTGTGAGAGGCCACCGGGAGCCTTTCTTCCTCTTTTTCTCATTTGGTGATAGTTCTTCTGGTTGGTGCTAATGCTTTTGGACTGAGGACACTGTCCCAAATTGACCATCCCCCTCCTGCTTCCTTCTACTGTGCCCACCCGATGGTTTGGACTCCTCCTCCTGATGTGTGCTGTCTCGGTTGTTGCATGAACCGCTGGTTGTTCCCACTCCCGGAGCCTGTCCTCAGCATTGACTTTCAGTATAACACTCTTTTTTCCCCAGTCTGGAGAAGAAAGCTGTTTACTTATCCCCATTCAGAGCTGTGTGAGCTGTGGAGGGGTCAGCGAGAGGCCCTGTGCCAGGAGGTGTGTGGGACGGTGCTCTGCGGATGTCCCCATGGACGCTGTGTTCACTGCAGCACCTCAGCCAGAGCAGAGCGATGATGTTATCCCACCCCTACCTTGGAGATCTTGGGAGATCCCAGGAGTTGCTGTGGTTTTCTTCACGGTTCACCACTTCTGTTGCGTTGAATCCCGCAGAGGAAGGGAAAACCAGTAGACACTGCTCATCCACAGTACTCCATCTTCCCTCAGCCTTTATGCCAAGACCTCCGATTGCTCCAGACCCCAGATTCAGGAAGGGCACTTTGGTTGCCTCTGAAGACCCTTGGAAAAAGCGGGATTTCTCTCGTTTCCCCATCAGCTGCTGCTGATGTCGGATGCTCCAGCTCACCAGCACTCCACGAGCTATTTCACAAAAGGATCGGCTACCCCATGTCTTGCTGACAGAAATGTTTGGGCTGCATCCACCTTCCTGGCTGGTCATGTCAGGCACTGGCTGGGCTTGAGGCTGAGTTGGTGGGCAGCTGGTGGCATTGCGCCTTCCTTTCCTTTCCTTTCCCTTGCACGCCTTGGTTATTCATTCCCTCAGAACAGCACATCTCCCCCTGGTTTTGTTGGACAGGTCACTCCAACCACTTTGAGTTTCCCAACTTGGAGCTGGCTGCGCTCAGGAAAGCAAACTTAGAGGAAACCACTGAAGCTTCAAGACTGTGTGGTGTGGTGTGAAGGTGGTGTAGAGCCTCCCAGGCGTCCTGAAGCCTCAGCCCCCATTGTGTGCTGAGCACCAGAGGCATCGAGCAATGGTGAAGCAGCCAAGGCCAAGGCCCTGTCTGATGGAAACCACCATCTGTAGGGTCTCCCCAGGCTCTGGTTCATGGTGGGACGGGGTTCTCGTTGGCAGTTTGTGTTTCTGAACTTGGGGCAACAGGAGAAGAGGGAAACTCTACTGCAGTGCCACCAGGTACTGATGCAAGTGTCTTGGAAGGAGACTGGCTGTCTTCTGTAAAGAAAACACATATAATTGGAGTTATATCCCTGGGGAACGGGGTCCTGTCCTGAAGAGAGTGGAGGACCTTGTTTACATCAGGCAGGCCATCAAGCATCACAGCAGGGAAGATGCAGGCTCAGAAAGTGAAGAGCTCTTCTAAAGCACAGCAGCAGCCCTTAAATGTGACAGCCCAGCAGGCAGTTCAGCTGAACACACACGTGCTTTGTAATCTTGGGTGGTTAATTACCCTCACTGCCTGCCACAGATGCCTGTTCTCCGGTGTGAATGTATTGCTCATCAACGTCTGTCTGTTACTGTCACCTTGTCTGCTGGATGGAAGAGCCATGGGCTATCAGAAGTCCCCTCTGCTGCAGGTACACATCTCTGCGGTGAGCTAAGGATGCTTGAGATGGGATTTCCAATGGCATCCAAGTCTTGTTCTAGAGCTCCTGGCAATGCAGCAAATCCCCCCTCCTGCAACCGTTCCCGTGGAGCAGCACCCTGTGCTGGAGCCTGGCTGGTGTTGGTCCATCTCTGGGTCTAGCTGGTGTGGACCAGCTAAGCTGTGGACAAGCTCCAGTGGCTCCAGAGAAGGTTCTGGGCTCCTGGTCTGCTCTGCACACCCATGCTCACCCATGGGATGACGGGGAAGCCACACCACTGCTCTGCTTCTGACTTGCTCTCCCGTATTTGTAGTGAGCGTATTTAGGAATCAGAGCCTTTTGAAACATAGTCTTCTGTGATGGAGCTACCCTGTGGCTTTGTGGGACAGCTATGAGAGATGACTTCAGCTCCCATGGCTCCACAGATATGAAGTGTCCTTTGAAACATGGCTTCTCCTCCCAGGAATCCGGCACATGTTCCCACCCGCCCCTGGCTGCTCTTTGCTCTGTTGGTCATGGAGCTCTTTGGCAGCAGACTGAAGAGCAGATCTTGATTTGTTGGGTGCTTCTACTCTTCAACTTACTCAACAATATCACCAGTGTTTAATATCTTACCTGTGCACCTTCTCTGATCTTTATATTGTTTGTCTATTCAGTTATCTATATGTGAGTCATCTCCTGGGTTCAGTCTTTGAAGGTGTTGACCTCTGCCAACCTCAAAGCAGAAGAGCCCTTCTTGTTTGCCTTATGGCATTTAGCCAAAGCTCCTCCATCGTTTTTACATCCTCTTTCCTTCCGCTTCATTTGTTTCCCATTCAGCCTTTGAGGTCGCATTGTGCCACCAGCATTGGCACCCTGGTGGGTGATGGTCAGGCAGACTGGGACCTGCTGCTGGACAGCCCATAGACGCAGGGGTTTCGTCACTGGGGCTGTTGAGACTCTGTCAGTGGACACCCTGGCTGTTCCGGTGCTTTGGGAGGAGCATGCCTGACAGCACCCTGCCTACTGGGAGGTGTAGATCAGGAAGGGGATGTGGAGCAGCACAGCCGAGTGTCCTGCAGGGAGATCCTGACCACTCTCCTCTCCGTTCATGGCAGCAGCGCAGGGATCGCCTGCCCAGGTGGCAGCAGCCACTGGGCATCCTTGGCGATGTCCAGGTTTTTATGCACCATTTGCGGGTGTTTTTCCACGGATGCCGGGGTGCCCAGAGCTTCTCCATCCCCTGAGCATCGGTGAGACCACAGCGGGGCCAGCCTGCAGTGCCAGCTCCGAGCCCTCTCCTGTCCCTTGTCCCACACCACTGGCACAGTCCCCATGGTGCTCACGCCTTGGGACGGGTCCTGAACCTGGAGTGGGTGTTTCTCCTTGCTTCCTGCTTCTCTCCAGCATGCTGGTTTTTGGGTGATGGAGCCATGGCCACCTGGGGCTGCCCTAACTGCTCTGCTCTGCCTGGCCCTAGGAGCGACGAGGTGGTGGCTGTGGCCAGCATGAACTACGACCCTATCGTGTCCAAGGTGGCTGAGGTCCTGGCTGCTGGCCGGACCATCCGAAAGCGCGATGTGGAGTAAGTAGCCGTGCTGTGGGAACCGGCGGTGCTAGGGCAGGGGCAGAGCAAATCCATGGGGTGCAGGGCAGGGCTGAGCACCCCAGGGCAGGACCCTGACGGGCACTGGGCAGCTCTTCCCTGCAGCTCTCCACTCCACATACTTCTTGCATTTCCCTTGCTGCCCCGCTCACTCTGTACCCCCAGTGTCGCCTCCCAACCGCCTCCGGGTCTGGCACCCCCCACACAGCGGGTTTGTCCTGAACACCAGGATCCAAATCCTTGCACAGGCTCGATGGGACAGGGGTGCTCACTGCCACTGGGTGCTGGCGTATCACCAAGGCAGCACTGCCTGATGGGTGCCCCTGAGCACCCAGTCAGTCGAGGCGACCCGCAGAGAGGGGCTGGGTGTGCAACCTGTGCCCAGCCTTCTGCAGGAGCAAAGCCCAGAGGGCTCATGGTGCCGTGACACCAACCCACGGTGTCTCAGTCTCCGGTTCATGGGGAAGAGCTCATAGGCAAACTGCAATTTTCTCCTTTCACTTTGTTTTTAAGACTTTGCACTGGGAAGAGCATACCCCTGCATGCAGAGGGGGGGTGCAGAACATGCTGGTGCTGGAAGGCAAACATTAGGGAGGTGGTAACAGCCAGGAAGGAGCCTTAAGAGTGGGAATCAGAGTTGAGGAGGGAAAGTAGGTCCCTGTCCCTGGGGTGTTTCCAGATCTGGAATAAAAGCAGACTTTTTCAAAAGCTCAGGGACAGGAGCACTCCCAGCCCCTGGGCAGCCCTGAGCCAGCTCAGACACCCCAGGCAGCCCTGGGACGGGGAGCACGTCGAGGGCCCACCAGCCACTGGTGACCAGGGCAGGGTTGTGCCCATCATCTCCAGTACATCGGGGAACGGTTGCTGGCTGCCTAGTTTGCAGCTGGGAGGGAGGTGGCATCTCATGGGCAGCCCTGCGGCGGGGGGAGCTGCTGGCCCCTGTGATGGGGCTCGGTAAGCCTGGAGGAAGCCAGACCACCTAAACCTGAATGTCTTTTCTCTCTCTGTCTCCCGCTGCTTTCGCACCTTTTAGGCTGTTTGTCCGTCATGGCAAGTACGTTTGGTTTGGGGTCCTGGGTGCACTGGGCATGAAGGGCTGGCAGGAGGGACAGCCAGCCTCCTGCTTGGGCCATGTCCCTGATTCCCGTGTGGGGACACTGGTTATGGCTGCGTGCTTGTTTTGTAGCCCCCCGATGCCGCTGTGTGGGGTGGTGGGGCTGGGGGTGGCAGAAGACGTGCCAGGGGTGGGTGGGCATGGCTGCTACATCCCCTTTGCAGGGTGCTGGTGCACAGATCTGCTGGGTCGGCTGGGAGCGGGCCGTTGCCTTTTGGCTGGGACCCTGCTCAGCTGGGGAGACACTTGCCGTTTGGTGGCTTCCCATGAATATTCAGTTGAATGCCAGACGGGCTTGTTTTAAGTTAAAAAAATGCCATTTAACTTCAGTTTTACACAGAATTGAGGATCTGCACGTGAGTTTTTGCCCAGTTTTACTGACACGTGAGTGAGGGTGGAGGGAGGGGTGCTGCCATCCTGCTTGGGCTGCCTGTGCCTCTGCGCAGAGCAACACAGGTCTGGGACAGGGACCGATGACTGGACTAGCGCTGAAGGCAGTGCCCAGGCACATCGAGCACATTTGCTTATGCACGCTGGGAAACATCTCACAGCTCTTCTGGTTTTTTCTCTTTTTTTTAGAACCGGAGATATGTCCTGGCTAACTGGGAAAGGCTCCTAACGCTGCTGGCAGCTGCGCCCTCCTGATGCTGCACTTGCCGTGGGATATGGGAGCTCCCCAGAGCAGCAGGAGCACCGCAGCTGAGTCATTTCCCTTCGAGACTTGGATGAACCCGGCGCCCGTCACTGCTCACTTACCTTCCCAGCAGACTGCCGACGGCTCCTCTGCCCCGGTGTCTGCTCGGCTAGGGCTCTGCTCTTGGAATTCCCGTGGGGCGCTGGAAAAGCCTCCCCCAGAGAGAGTGGGGTTTGGCACTGGCAGCTGGCACGGGTACCGCACAGCTGCGGATGCCACTGATGGGCTGGGGGGGTCCCCAGGCGGGTCGGCCCCCAGCACGTCTCTCACCCCGTAACCAGTGCGAGTGCCTTTTGCTGCTCCCTGTGCTTCCAAGCATGTTGCCCCTTCCCAAACCCTCTTTGCTCCCGGCAGAGCTCCGATGCGCATCACTGCGGAGCCTGACACCCGCTCCCGCTTTGCATAGCTGCGGCGCTTGCCGTGGCTCTTCCCGTGCCCACCCGTGCCGGGGAGCACCTGGGGGGGGGCCAGGGAGATTGGGTCACACCAGGTGGTCTCTGTACAGCCTGTGTTGGTGTTTCACATTCTCCCTTCTCCAGGCTTGTCGCCCTGCCCAGCCCCTGCAGCAGAGGGGGGTCCCTGCCCAAGCCGAGGGCTCTGGAGTCCCCATCCCAGCACCCACAGCGTCTCCCTGGCCTGGAGCACACAAGGGGCTGGAGAGCTGCTCCCCACCTCTCGGGGTTCAGGTTGGGCTTGGGCGCTGGCAGCTCTCGGTCAGTCCCAGGGGTGCGGAGCGGGGCTCCCTGGAGAGGTGCGACAGCTGGACTGCAGCCCCAGGGCTGGGTGGCCATCCTTCCAGCCAGCCTTGGGATGGCGCTTGCCCCTTAATGATCATCATAGGATTAGTGTTGCTGCTGAGATGTCACTCAAGGAAAAGGAGCCAGAGGAGTATTTCTGGCTGTCCTCCGGCCTTCATCACTCATTCCTCCTGCCGCCTCGTGACAAGTCTGCATTTCTCATCTCGGCTTTCCATGTTGGTGCTCTGTTGCCACGTTTTCTGCCCTGTGCTGGAAGAAGGGCCTTATCTCCAGCTCAGGAGTGGACCTGGCCAGCCCACAGCCCTGTGTCCATCAGCCCAGCAGAGCTTGGGTGTGAAGCCCCACCTTGGAGAGCCTGCAGTGCTCTGTCCTGGGGGAGATTTCTTCCCCAGCAGTCAGTGTTTCACCCTGAGCCCAAAGCAACAAGATTTATATTTTTAATTTGATTCACACCTATGAATTAAAGCAGTACTCTGCCTCTCTGATTCCTTCCAAGGCCTTGGGTCACCTCTGTAGGTCAGCCAGGTGGTGCAAGTGCCTCTTCTATGGAGGCTTCCCACTTGTGTCCAGCTCATGTGTATTTGTTTCCAGATTTTCTGATTTTCGCTGGGTAGAAGCATCACCAGTCATCTGTCATGTCTCTGGCTGGTCTCTCCCGGTTTCACTGAAAGGTTTTTCCCAGGCAGCGAGACCAGAGGGGACAGTAGTCAGGGACGCACACACTCCAGCACGCAGCAATGAATGTGGTTCTGTTCTTGAACCATTACCTACCTGCTGGATCCACAAAGGGATGTGAACTTGCAAGGCTCATCTTATTTTTTCCACACTTGGTTAGATTTTTCTGTGAAATCCGCTTTGTGTAGGTTTGGTTTTTTTTTACCAGTAACATAAGGACAGGGGCATGGCTGCCCTGAGCCAGGCTCTGGGGCCACTCGGTGGTGTCACAGACACTCAGCAGAGCTGGAGAAAGAATGTGCAGCCTGGGCTGTGCTCACAGCACAGACCTGCCTTGAGAGACTGGGTTCTTGTGCATGGAATGCCTTGATGGCCATCAGCCAGTCATGCATTGGTCTAACCATGCTTTCAGCCCAAGGTAGGGTTTGTTGGGTTTTTTTGACAGCATGTCGCAATAAGCTCTGCAGCTTAATTTTGGCTTTATCAAGCAGAATAATCCTCTTTTTATTTGGTTTCTCACGTCCCTTGCCAGTGCCTGGCCCTTAAGGACCACATGTACGATACTGTCTCCCAATATTTGCAGCAGCTGCTCTGATGGACCTTCTGGGATGGGCTGGAGGCTGAAGATCATGAGATGAGCCCATGACTGTTGGGTAGGACTGACCATGAAGGGCCCAAAGCACCATTGCCTTTCCCTGCCGTTCACCTCTGGCTCAACCACCCTTTTGCCCACACCGTCTCCCACTGCCCCCCCCAAGACCCCTGAGCCTGGATAGGGCTTGGGGACACCGAGCTGTGTGGACCCCCATGGGGGCAGCCTGTCAGCAAGGAAGCTCACAGTGATGGGTGAAGTGCTCCGTGAGTCTGGAGGCTTTGAAGAAGCGTTTCTGGCGAAGAGCACCATCCCCTCCCCGGGTACCCTCAGCTGTCAGGGAGTTTGGGGCAATAATTACACTGACACAACCCGGCTGGCAGAGGGTGTGGCAGAGCAGAGCGCTGCCCGCGGGGTGCACGGCCTGGGGACACCGCCCTGTCCCCGTCACAGTGATGGGGACAACCTGCTGCTCACCCCTGCGAGCTGCTGCGGAGGGGAGATGTTCTGTATCCTCGTGGCTCCCACTTGGGCTTGGTGTCCTGGGGCAGGGGGGTGGCATTTTCCTTCCCCGCACCCTTCTCCCAGCTCAGCAGCCCTGCCCCCCGGGGGGAGCCAATGGCTGGGTGGCCCCACGCATTAGCCTGACCTGTCATCCCGTTAATTGCCTTCTGGCTAATCTTGGCTGAGCCGGGCCGGGGCGAGCAGGGCTCAGCTGCTGGCCATGGCTGCGCACACCCCTCTGCCCCCCAACCTCCGCAGGGGCTTGGCGGC